TATATGTATATTATTTCGTCCGGATAATCATATTAGGTATTTATGACATATTTGTGTATTGTATATTTGTATTTAATTACATGATATTTATATTTTAGGATTTTATATTTTGGTTTTTTTGTTTTTTTTCCTGTACCAGCTAAATTTCCGACGGATTTTTGGCGGAAAATCCGTCGGTAAATAAGTAGATATAAGTTTTATTTAAAAAATTTCCGACGGATTTTCTGACGGAAAAATCCGTTGGTAAATATTTTCCGTCAATTAAAAATAAAAATATTTTCATATTATAAATTAGTAAAAATTAAAATATAATTACCGACGGAATTTCCGTCGGAAATCCGTCGGAAAAAAATAAAAATAAAAATAAAAATATTTTCATATTATAAGCTAGAAAAAATTTAAATATAGTTACCGACGGAATTTCCGTCGGAAAATCTAAATCCCGTTTTAGATTACTTCTAATTAACCCGGACAAGTACTAATATATGAAAAAAAATTCTGACGGATTTCCGACGGACATATCCGTCGGAAAATACAAATCCGTCGGAAATTCCGTCGGAAAAGGCATTTAGCGGCGGGGGTTTTTCCGACGGCTAAATCCGTCGGAATTCCGTCGGAAATTTGTTTTTCCGACGGATTTCCGACGGATTTTGCCGTCGGAAAAACCCCATTTTTAAGTAGTGTGATCAACATTTGCATCACTTTTTGGACTAAAATTGACGAAAGAAAAATTCTAGAAATATCTTTAGCTATAATCTATTCATACCCCTACAAACGGTATGAAAGAAAATCACTGAATTTTATTCCTGATATTCTTCTTCGAATGAGAAATTCATGAACATCGTTGTGTAGTAACAACTGCATCAGAGGTTGTTTATCAAATGTTTATCAGGTAAACATTTATCGACAAGAGTCACCACCATACTTGCCTTATCATGTAACATTTTTTGCCATTAAAATAGATTGGTGGTAGAAAAAAATTGAGCAGTGAGTGTTTACTAGGTAAGAATCTTTTCCCTCGCTTAGCAAATAAGATTTTAAGTGACTCCCAAAAGGGTTTACCCAGTAAGTATTTGATAAACGACCTTAAGAGTACTAGTTGCTTCGTTTACTTGTCTATTTCCTTCTTCAAACTATAGGAACAAAGTTCACTTGAAACCATTCAAAATGATGAGGTCCAACCCTTTTTTTTCATGCAATTGTACTCATTTGATATCTACTAGATATACTTTAAAGTATATATATATATATATATATATATATATATATATATATATAGGGTATATTTCTTTTACAACCTTGTGCATTTGTACAACCTTTGCAACCCAATTAATTGAGATATTTATAGAAATGATTGGAGTTCATTTATTATGATTAATACTTTATATTAGGAAACAATTAATTGATTAAAAATTGAATGGTTGAGATGAGGGTTGTATAAGGTGTAGGAATGACAAAGGGTGTAGAATAACATCCCTCTCTCTCTCTCTCTCTCTCTATATATATATATATATATATATATATATCTCCAGAGGTTCGAAAGAGAAATACCTTCATGTTACAAAAATGCGAGAACCCTATCACATGTGATAATACACATGAAGGGACCTAGGTCGTGTCAAAGGTCGTTCGTGTTTCTTATTTAATATCACATGTGATTATCTATATATAGTAAAATAGTGTTTTCGCATTTTCATAAAATGAATGTGTTATCGTTTGACGCTCTTCCTTATATATAATATTTATACACAAACACACGGGGGAATGTTCATATAAGAAATACAAAAATGGTAATAACATATGAATAAAAGATTCATATGTAAATCATCGATAAAAAGAAACGTGGGTTCACATATGCATCTTCTTATGTGAATAATTGGTAAAAAGGCAGGTAAGCAAACATGGGCACATACACATCTTCTGATAGATTCTTTTTCCATGGTTACCCATTCACATACGAATAGTTAAATTATAAGAAATATGTATTCGTACTCACTCAATGTGTATAATACCGGTTCGATGTCTACATGATATACTTCAAATTTCAAGAACTATGTACTTGATATGTTCGATGAATTCAAATTGTCCAAATAACTTTAAATTCAAGAAATATATACCATCTCGTTGTACTTTTAATTTCAATGGTAATGGTAAGTCACTAGGCTCATCGTCAATAACTCTTTATATTGCACTACTTTCAATAAGTATGTCTCCAAGGGAGTATTAAGATCTTTGTGAAATCTGAGTTTTTCTAATAGATCTTTGTTCATGCATCTGTACAATCCCGATGTGTTCAATAGTCGCTCGATGTACATTAGATTTCAATATATATATTACCTCGATGCATTAGATAATAGCCCGATAGTCATTCAATGTACTTTAAAATTCAATGTTTCGTCAGATTGATGTTTTCAATAACTGTTCATAGCTACTTGATTAACATATGCCCAGTTGTTGTGTTCTTCAAGATAAATGTGAAAAGTTCCCTAAAATTTCATTAACATTAGTCAAGAACTAGAGTACCAATATAAACCTAGTGATAGATTAGTTGAGAACATAGATACCCTCTTGAGAAGCAATTAGATGAAAGAACCGAGATAGCCCTCCTTCAGTGGAACAAAGGTATTCCCAGAAAACACATCTACGGTTGCCTTCTCAAGGCCACCCAGAATTTTGCCAATAGAGAAAACAAACCCTATTTCTTTTTTCTTACAGTCTTTGACCCAAAAGAATACCCCTACGACATCCACTGTTATTAATCGAGAACAAATTGAAAATGTACAAGAAAGTTGTAACAAATCAGATGAAAAGATTGTATTTTTGTTGAAAGATCTTCCTAAAAGAATGCATATGATAGAGCGGTTCGCGTAAAACTGCGTTATAATCCTCAGAAACATTTCTGGAATGCAAAAATGATTACCTATTTAATAGATTATTTTCACTTTCATGAGGTTCATTTTCTTCAATTAACTGGCTCATCATGGCTTTCAATAGCACGTGTTCAATTCAAGAAAATGAAGCCCAAAGAAAGGATGACCAAATTGATTAAAGAAACCAAATATCTTGAAAGCAAATCGAAATGAAACGTATCGAACATGTAGTCATTTTTGCATCGTAGTTGTCATGTTCCTTGGGATTGAACATCTTTTCACCTGATTCGCACTATCATACGCATCTTACCGAATGACGATCAAAAAATAAAGCAATATCTTTCTTAAGATCTTTATAAGAACTTCCTGGAGATAATGTAATGTCTCTTGGAACTTCCCTTTGGCTTTATAACGTCTCCTTTTATAACACGATCTTCCAACAATAACAAGATTAGAACTCATCTTGATCCACGTCGTCATCATCTTTATGACTATTGAGATTGTATCGAGCACGCATCGCACATTATTGAGCACCTATCGAGAATCACAAAGAATATGTAAAGAACAATTAAAGGAAGAAAACCCTAACATGGAGACGACGAGGCATGGTGTAAAGAAAAAAAAACCTATAGCACGAACGCAAGGAGGAGCAAATTCAGGTACGTCGATGAGATGCAAATAAAACTAGAGAGGTTCTGAGGAGGGGTTTGAGAGTTCGAACTTTTAGAAGGAGAAACGAACAAGAGGGAGAGAGAGACGTGAGGACGTATGGTTACCTTATATAAATCAAGGGAGAGGAAACATTTAAGAGAAGATAGGAGGAAAATGATTTTAGTAGTTATCTTATCGAACCAGTATCATCGAGAGTATATCAAACGTATTGAGGAATTAATAACGAACAATCAGATAAATAAGAGCGGAAGATCGGCATGGACTGCCTTATAAATATCTAAAACATTGATGAGCTACCGAAATTTGTGAGGCTAGAGATGGGTGAACCTGTTAACTCGTCAGGCCCCTAAAAGTAACAGTCTCTGAATAATATAATTGGTTATACTATTTACGATTATAGCCGGTATAATTAGTCACATATTCGATTAACCCTAATCGGTTTTTTGGTTTCAAACTTTTCTTTATAATATATAAATATATTTTTTGAACGGCAAACAAGAATAAATTAAAGAAACAACGAAAATAACAAAGCCTTGCGATTAGTGATGGCCAAAAACCGGTCCCGAACCGATCCTAATCGGTCCAAGCTTTCTCATAACCAGTCATAACCGGTCCCGGTCGAAAATGGTAGGACCGGTCAAGGTTCTTCATAACCAGTTATGGGACGCCGGTCCCGGTCTCGGCATTAAAAAATAAGATTTTTTTAAAAAAAAATTAATGATATATATTTTTAATACATTATAAAATTTACAATTTGGTCACTCAAATACACTTTAAAATTGCGTTTTAATATAATTAAAATTACATTGTCTTATAAAAATACATTATAAAATTATTTGAAAATACATTTATTTATAAAATTATTTGAATTTTCGGACGGGGCCGGTCCATAGCCGGTTCCGGTCCCACGAAACTATCAAAAACCCCAACTGGTCCCATAACCGATCCCGGACCAGGCGGTCCTTTGCCAGTCCCGAGCCGGGCCAGGCTAGGCTGATTTAGCCATCACTACTTGCGAGACACAAGACAAAAGAAGAAAACCACCCTAAACCACAACGAAACACCCAACAACAAACCCAACTCAAGCCCAAGAGATTTATAGTTTTTATATACAAATATGTTAAACTATAAATCAAGACATGAACGAAATAAAGTGACTTACATGCTCTAAATAAATAAGATTTTGTTTATTCAATTATAAATACAAATAAAGAAAATGAAAAACATATTTCTAAAACTCGTACAAATTATTTCAAAAAATTCACAAAATACATGAAAATTGTTTAAATTTTTATAAAGATCATCTACATAAATCCTCTCATGATTCTATATCTTATCGATCTTAAGCAAATACCTTCAAATGTAGTTCTTCGCCCTCCGTTGCAGGAGTCCAGGTATATTGGCTTCCGTCTTCATCGGCTATTTCATCATTGACGTTTTACTCCCCAGTGATTAGGCAAATTGTTTTTTTATTAACCTGGATATCCAACCTACTATGCGAACCGACTAATCACATAACGACCACCTGCTTTGTAGATAGCCCGAAGTCACCGCATTTGAACCTCCGTGACCACAAGAAGATTTTTATTCCTCCTTGGATTTGAACCTGAGACCTTCTGATACTTTTGACCATTGGAGTCAAGCTCAAACCAATCAGACACCATCCTTGTGGTTAGGCAAATTGTTTTTGGTCATAACTAACCAGTAATCTTTGAGACAAACATAATGTAAGGCCGCTATCGATAGGGATGGCAATGGGGCGGGGATGGGGCGGGGACCTCAATACCCGTCCCCGTCCCCGATCCCCCGTATGTGTCCCCGTCCCCGTCCCCATCCCCGCCGGGGATTATGATCACATCCCCATCCCCGTCCCCAACGGGGAACGGGGATCCCCGTGAAACGGGGATTTTTTTAAAAAACAAAAAATTATTGAAATACACTAATATTAATATAAGACTTAAACAAGACCAAAAAGTTTAAACTAATATTATCAAAGTTAACGTCAAACGTACTAAAATTACATCGAGTAATATAAGACTTAAACAAGACCAAATTGTGATTGCAATTTGAAGGGCTGCTGCTGCTGTAGGCACATGATATCAAGTGTCAACAAGAACCTAATTTGTATAAAAACCTAATTTGTAAAAGAAAGCAGACCAGCCACAATAATGTATTAATTTGGATCCAAATCAAGGAACATATATAACAATTAACGTGGTAGTATAAAATGGTAGATGATTAATGGAAACCTACTACCAAAGTGGTAAAACTCTAGTTAAGGTAAACATTAGTTCACAAATCAAGGAACATATATAACAATCATTATCAAAGTGGTAGTATAAAATGGTAGATGATTAATGAGGAGGAAGGATGCGGGAACCGGGAAGAAATAGGATTAGGAAATTGAAATTGTGAATTCGTACTCATGGACTGGACTGGAGGAAGGAGAAGATGCATTTACTTTTTTTATTTCACAGCCCAAAGCCCAAAGCCCAAAGCCCAAAGCCCAAAGCCCAAATTCATAAAAAATATATATATAAAAAACGGGTACGGGGCGGGGCGGGGAGTGCTATACCCGTCCCCGTCCCCGTCCCCGGCTTGCGCCAAGCGGGGATCCCCGTCCCCGTCCCCAAGACCCGATTTTTCGGGGAATCCCCGTCCCCGACCGGGGCGGGTGGACCGGGTTACCCGACGGGTCGGGGTCCATTCCCATCCCTAGCTATCGATATCCAGTAATCCTTTGCCAACGAAAGACTGGCACATGGCAAGCTAATTTTTTTTAAAAAGTTATCCTTTCGGTTCCTTTAACTGGTTACAGATGCCCAATTAATATAGGAATGATTTTGATTCAAATACGGTAACTAGTCGGGCCCGCCTTAGCCCGATTTCGGTTATGAATGTCTATCTCTAAGTCTAGTATAAGGCGATATTAATCATAAAAACTCAAATTTCGTTGTTAAGTCAATTTTGTAGTGCTTCCCGTGTCAGTTTTATACTCCTTCCCATGTCTACCAAACCAACTAATCATCGTTCCCTTCCTCCACCCACCAAACACCACCATAGTTGTCTGCTACAATGTCGATTTACAGGGCGAGATCACTTATAAGACTTGCTAAATCTAAATCAAACTTCAACTTCACTTCCCCTCACTTACCGGTACCATGTTCAATCAGAAGAATTTCTTCATCGATCATCCCATCTCACTTGGAAGTAAGCTTCTAATTTCTATTTTTTACATTTCTATGTTTTAATTATTCATATGTCTATGATTATGCGCCTGTTATATTGTATGTATAGTTCATAGAAATTCTTTTTTCTTTTTGCGAACCGATTTTCATGAATTACTGGATTTGGATCAAAACTACAAGGCGTCTCCATCGGTATTGAACTGTCATATGGAAGGGTGTTTTGATATCTCCTGAATTGCAGATGAATTTTTATCATAGAGTTCATTTCGTGCACCAAAGTAGAAATTAAGATTGCATGCACTTTATTTGGGTGAAAACTGAAAATACTCGGGTTTTATCAAGGTCCCCCCCCCCCCCCCAAAATAAAGGAATAAGAAAAATAGGTTATATGACTTCGGGGTCAGACTGCTAATTTTTAGAATTGATATTGATTTGAGGAACATTTTGCATTAGAGTTATAAGTACTCTACTCAGAAAATGTTGCGTTAAGCTTGTAACAAGAACTATATACCTGAAAAGTTGTAGGGTTGACTCTGAAAAGTCAGAGTATGCTTTCCTGTTCTTTCTGCTGACAACAACAGAAAGGAAGAGGTTCATGTAGCTGCTCCCTCCCCCTCTTAGTGAAAAAGAAAAAAAAAGTAGACGCCATCTTCTGGAGGGTCCCACTGCATCGGTCCCAAGGTCATCATGGGGTCGTAAGTCACTGCAGTTAACAGTAAGTGGTGGTTCCTAGATTTGAACCCGAGACCTCCTTTTGTGGATGCCCATCATCCTACTGTAGTAATTTTGGTGCAACATGCATGGACCCCTCTTAGTCAATTTGGTAGCAGGTTAGGCTTCTACTACAAAAGAGGGAATCCAATTTTGTTAACCATGTTCCAGGATATATAAAAATGATTCCTTTTCTATACCATTTAGTTAAATCATCCATTGAGAATTGATTCCATTCCTATGATGAATGTGGGGTCTTGTCTTTGGCACTTGGCTCTTGGCAATTCTCCGTCCATTCCCACCATAAAGGTAGTTTAAGTTTCATTCCTTTTTGAAACAGAAGTAACAAAAAAGAAGTTGATCAATGTACAACCAAACATACAAACTAAAGACCATTATGTTTCCTTCTTAGTATCCTCTTAGCACTTTCCAGTCATTATGTTTGTTTTCAAAGAAGTTGCAATTATGTTTTCTTCTTGTCTGATATGCTTTGTATGATGATTACAGAGGGTTGGATTCATAGGCCTAGGCAACATGGGATCCAGAATGGCGAGTAATTTGATCAAGGCAGGATACAATGTGGCAGTTCATGACATGTAGTTCTTGTATTCTTTTTGATAGAGTTTACTTTATCTTGTATGATTTTTGGTTGGTGTGTAGTCCTTGGTCATATTTATTTCCTTAAAGAGTAATTATTAATGAGAAGTAAGCTTGCAAAATTACATGATAAATTCTGCAACATTGAGCATGTCTAATTCCTAATTAAACATGAGTTTTTTTTTTAATGACAAATACAATGCAAGCCTGTACCTTGAGCATGATTTCATCCATTATCTCTTCCTATCAGCAACCTTAGTGTCATAAAGATGTTTTCAGACAAGGGAATCTCTGTAAAAGGATCACCACGGGAGGTTGCAGAAATGAGCGATGTTGTAATTACAATGTTGCCTTCGCCAAGCCATGTAAGTTAGATGATTTTATTACCTTTCTCCTCCATTTTAGATTGTATATGTGGTAAGTGAGGTCAAATGAACATTTTAGATTGCCACAAAAAGATTACACTTTGGTTTTTGGCTTAAATTGATCAATTTTCAGCAACTTACAAGTACTACAACTCGAGGGATATTGTTGATAAGTTAGTAAATGTATCTCAATTGCTTTGGAATACGGAGAGTAAATTGGGTCATGTTTGGGAGATCGCCTATAAAAGCTATATAAAGGCCAGATAACAGGTTTTTTGTTAACTTGCCTCTTTTTCTTTGTGAACAAAGTGCACATATAAAGTTTTATGTTATCATTGGTAATATCCTTGTAGAGATGTATTATTGTTTTCTTGTCTTTCCCACTGTATGATCTCATCAACTGCATCAGTGAAGCAGGTCATTTCATCTATAAATGTCAACTTAAAACAGCAAATTCACTATCAGGAAGGACTCAAACTGAAATCCCTGGTGGTCTTTCCCAGTTTTATATCAGCCAGCAAAAGAATTATACGAGCAGTTCCATATATGAAGTCAGATAATTATAAATTAATAAGATAGTTAAAAGCTAAATTCAGTGGCAATGTGCAAGAACCGCAAGAGCCGAAAGATCATGAGAGCTACACTTTACCATGACAAATTGTTGAATAGATTCATCTTAAAAAACAATTTGATGCTTTATCGCAACTCCTATCCCTTGTTTTGTGTATGCAGGATCCAGTTTGAAGTGGTGTACTTCTTTGTTTAGGTATTAGATGTTTACACTGGACCAAATGGTTTACTTAATGGTGGGAATCTAGTGAGGCCCTGGTTATTCATAGATTCATCTACAGTTGACCCTCAAACAACAAGAAAGCTGTCATCAGCTGTATCTAATTGTGCTTTGATTGAAAAGAAAGGTAAATAGAAGAAAGTTAAATACTATTTAACGAATACCTTACTGCATCTGTCTCGTATATACTGCTTTAAGGGACTTTAAGTTCCAGTTTTCTGTAGCTTCTATTCAGTTTGTTCTGGTCTGGTTATATCATAAACATATGCTTCACTCTACTCATGAGTTTCCTTCTTGTAAAGTGGAATGCCATTTTCTCAAAGTCACTCTCTCATGCTCACACACATGCATGCACTTGTAAGCATTTCCCTTTCTGTCAGGCAGTGAATGAACTAGACTTGTAAAGTAAGGGGTCAAGTTCAAGCTATAATTGTAAAAACAAGGGATCAAGTCTTTGTGAAGTATACAGCAACTCCTGAAAGGGTCACACCAAATTTTATTGTTTTTGCGCTAGATCAAGATGTTTGATGGAAATGATATAAAATGAGGGCCAACTTTTAGTTTATTGCACTTAGATTAGCTATACCTTCATTTGCAAGGATGCGGCTTTGCCACTCATGTGAGGTATTTGTTAAACTATAACAAGAACAGAATTTTGAAAGGAAGGAAAAAATAAATGAAAGAAATGAAGTTTCGAAGAGTTGAAGAAAAAGTGACAAGAACAAATAGTAAAGCACACCAGGACATTAAAAGCATACAAGAAGGTGTGAAACCACTAAACTAACTAAAGACGAAGTAGCAGTAAAACAAAAAAAGCAAGTAAATGAACCAGAACGCTGCGTCACACAAAAGCCCCTTTCCTACTCTACACTATGATTACATAGCTGTTCTTCTTAGGACTCTGATACCTAATTGTCGACTCTCTCACCCTCCCGAACAACCCTCTACCTCTCCCCCTCCCTTGCCCCCTTAATCCACAAGTCTTTATACACAATTCGTTACCCTAGTTCTAGACCCTCCCAAACTCCTATCTGATACGTGTCTTCTAAAATGTCCAAAGCTGGCATGTTGAGCCTCAGTGGCTTGTCGCACCGAGCACGTCCTCAGCCTGCCCCTCCTCCTCACAACATCGACCCTGACGTTCTCCACCCTCTTCACTGGTTCTGACACCCGTCTCCTACAAACGTGTCCAAACCACCATAGTCTTCTCTCTCTCTCTCACTCTCTCTCTCCTTTTATCCCTGATCAGCGCTACTCCCAACATTGCTCAAAAGACCTCGTTAAGTTTCCTGTCTAGCATGGTTTAGCCAGGTCCATCTGAACATCCACATTTCAGCCCTCCGTTTTCCTCTCGTGCACCTTTTTTATTGTCCAACACTCCACATCATCTGATGGTTACCTGTAGAATTTGCCATTCACCCTTAGTGGGACCTTCTTAACACACAACAGTCCTGTGGACCGTGGTAGCCTTCCATTGTAGGTAAACTAACTTGATATCGCTGTTGCTGTAAGTTGCGTGAGTCAAACTTCATGAGTAATAACATATGGAGACGGCATATGCAAAGAAACAATGAACCTGTTGCAGAAAAAACACTTAAACACTAAGAAGAGATCTATACAGTTGCAGATTGCGCTGGATCAGTCACAGTCTGAAATCAGCCACTAGTATTGCACGCATGTATGGGGGAATTTGGTTACTTGGTGTAACAAGAAGCAACCTGTTGTCTCTACAACAGTTTGAAAAGTAGAGTGTAGAGCATTAGCTCATGGTATTTGTGAAGGGATAACTGCAAATTGTAAATGAGGGATCAATGTAAGTACTTTGTGTTGTGATAATCAGTTAACAATTAGCATCGTTAAAAGTTCTGTTCACCATTTTCGAGCAAAGCACGCTGCAATTGATAGGCACGTCACCCAACCAAGCAACTCAACCGAGCATCATTTAGCAAGCATCCTCACTAAGGCAATCAGAAAGCTTTTTGATCAGCATACATCCAAGATAGGTTTAATTAACATTTTCATCCTAGCTTGAGGGGGAGTGTGGAATTATGATTGAAGTGACAAAAATTCTGGATTTTGTTATGGATTTTTCCGGCAGCTACTATGGGATTTATACGTATCTGTATGGGAACTTTCCAGCTGTAGCTATTTGACATCTTTGCTACTAATAAGTTTCTGGTTTAGAGGATTTTGTTTCAGTTTTTTAGGAGAGTATCTTGGTTTCTTTTGCCTATAAATCTATGTACATCTTTTTCTAAAATAAAAGAAAATTTTCTTATTTTCTCTCCTCTCGACATATTTTCATTGACGTCTTATGCGAGCTAGGATGTGCCACATATTCCCTAGAGTGGCTAGGTGGGATAGAGGTACCTGTTAACGAGTCTGTCAACAAGTAAGGAAAACACTGCATAGGGATTTATCATGAAATTTACTTGTATAGAGTGAATGACTTCTATTGGTCCCAAGTAACTTTCCATGGATACCTTTTGATAAGTATTATGCATTATATCACTGCAGTAGCTTTCCTCATTTGACATTGATCAGTTGATTTCAAGTTTTCCTGCATCATTTAGTATTATTATCTTGTGTTGTATTTAGAACACGTACGACCTAACAAAATCCTTGGAAGATGTAAGTTCTATATTACACTTTATTTTCCGGAGATGGGTTCAGGATTAAAATTAAACGTACGGGGATGTGATTCAATTTATTTTTTCATTTGCAATTAAAATTTTAAATACCTATGTAATGATGAGAACAAAGATCTGGATGCTTTGTTATCCTGCAATAATATTACGATAGAAACGTTCTTTTAGCAACAAATTCAACTATGTGAATCCCCAATTGTCACTGATGAACTTGTATATTTCATAGATTCCTGGGAGACCCCTGTGATGCTGGATGCTCCTGTCTCTGGTGGTATTCTTGCAGCAGAGACCGGAACACTTACATTCATGGTATGAACAAAAAATTCAAAATGAACTTTTTGATACCAAGATACTCTGAACCCTTATCTTATTTGTACTACCTATTTGAACCTTGTAACTCTCATTGTATTAAGCTATGATATATAGATCTCCTGCTTTTTAACATGTTAGAGTGACAAAATCGTTGTTTAGCTAGGATTACATGTTCTAGCCAACTAGCTGTTGCTGTCACAAGTTGAGTTCTAATTTTTCTCTCTGCTCCATTCTAAAACAGCTGTTACCTTAATGAAGTGTGAGACATCCTACAAATTCATTGTGTCATTTACGATGCTACACTTTTTATGATATTTGTTAGAAATGGGGCTATTTACGTGTTTATTTGTTCTTATCATTATTATCTCTGATTGTCTGGTGTGATTTGGACTTCATTAGAGGTAGCCGACCTCCGTATATGACTCAACTAAGTCATCTGGTAAGAAACTTTCTAGTTCTTTAGTCATCATCAGATTTCTTTTTGGACCATAGTAGAAGTTTGTTTTTTCCATTTTTGGTGATTATTTGTTGGACACTTGAAGTTCTATAGCATTCCTACTTAAATTATTTCTTTGAAATGAGGGATGAAAAAGCAAAATGCAGTGCTACTTGCTAATGGTTCCCTATCAAGTATGAATACTAGAATGTAATCATTTAATATTCCTATCAAGTTTAATGATCAATGTTCAGTTGGTCTACCTTTGTGACACATCATTTGATAAGAAGAGAACAACTCCGTCATCTGATTTAGAACCCACCATCTCTAGGAAAATGATGGAGTGATATTTTATGCGCCCCTCTGAAAAGCAATAAGGTCCAACATCTTAGCCAATGCTATACTTTGTCAATTTACCAAGGAACTATTAGACCACATTGTAGTTGTCTACTCAGGTTCTACAAGTTTGTCTCATGACTATTCAATCTTTCAAGCATACTCCCCATGCTCGTAATGGGATCCGGCACCACTGCACACTTCAGGAAACTTGTGGATAAGCTAAGAGGGTAGTTCTCTTAAGTTACGGTATAGATAAAGTGCATTTGTACAAGTTGCATTTTCTAGCCTTTATTGGTGAACTACAGTTTGCTCATGACTTTGATCCTTTGATACTGCTAAGACACGCTAGGGTCGTTTGTATGGAGTCTATATATTCTTTTTCTACAAGAAATGTTTATAGAATCTGGATCCTTGACATGACAGAAGGTTCATTTGCCCTGTTATCAGTGTCTTATAGACCTAGCTACTCATCATAATTATATAGTAGCCTACTTTATTACCAACGTTACAAAAACCTTTCAGTAACCATCAAGGTAAGATGAAGTGGGGTGACTGGTTTTCCCAAACACCTGTCATAGGTCGACTCTTAACACTTATACTTTGGGGCTCGGTAGTGTAGTTTTAGTGACAAGTTTTTTGTTAATTCAGGTTAGTAAGTTAAATTTGGTGTTAGCCTATCCTTTGATCTAATGGACATATGGATTTTCAGGTTGGTGGTCCAGAGGAAGTTTATAAGGCTACAGAACCAATATTTTCATCAATGGGGAAAAATACCATATATTGTGGCAATGCAGGAACTGGTTCGGTAAGTTTTTTGCAGAAGTAACTTTACAGCAAAATAATGGGACATCATAGGTAAATAAAAATAGAAACAGAGCTGCATGATATTGGCTGTTGTTAAGTTGTTGCTGTTTAATTCAGTACTGATATATGATGTAGAAATGAGTTAGTTATCTATACTATATTATAATGCATTTGGCTAAAACTCTTAAAAACTCTTAATCTATACTATATTATAATGCATTTGGCTAAAACTCTTAAAAACTCTTAAACTCTTAAAAACTCTTAAACTCTTAAAAACTCTTAAACTCTTAAAACTCTTAAACCCGTTCATCTCTATCCGATTTCATCCCATAACTGAATCCGTGTAACTAACTGCAGATAAACACAATCAAATACAGGATAAACATCTTATTTTAAATATAA